TCAGCTGTACACTCCAATCTTTGTCTCTTATACACATCTTTCCCTGTGCTGAAGATGAAAAAGACGATCGTTTTTCCTCTATTATCGGCATTTTTTAGTCGATTTTCAGCACTTTTTTACCAAAAAAAAAAAAGAAAAAAAGAGAGGCGGCTAGAAAATCAGGGTCGGGCGGTGACGCTAAACAAGTATACATTTTTTTTTGGCCTAAAGGAGGATGTGTGAACGTTTGCAGTGTAACCCTAAGCCGATCAGAAGTATTCTAACCGCAAACAGAACAGTCGTTTGCAGTGTAACCCTAAGCCGATCAGAAGTATTCTAACTGCAAACAGAACAGTCGTTTTTAGTCAGCTGATATGTAGTTTTAAGCGGTCCTGCTGGGGCTAATTTATTGTGTGTTAGGGCTAGGCCAGGCCCAATAAAAATTATTTGTCTGTGAAAGAAAACGTTTGTGAATTTCATTTGCAAAATAGGGTTGCCTGTTTCAGGTTAACAGCTAATTAAGTAGCACTTGTGTAAAAACCCACAGCCAAGCAAATAAATGGAAACTGCAACAGTATAAAACTGTAGGAATGATGTAGGAATGTGTATAACTGGCTACCTATGTCTTGTTATACAGTCGAGTCCGCCAAAGTCGACTCTGTTTAAGTCAAAAATTCGCGTCAGTCGAATTTTTAAAAAGTCCCAATTCTTTCCTATGTATTACTGTGTAAATTGTTTGTTTAATTTGAATTTTTATAAGTCGAATTTTGGCTATATCGACGGAATTTTCCTGTCCGGATAGGCTGATTTTAAAGTAATTTCAACCACACAAGTCGAAGTTCCAAATTTAGTAGCGCACGTGCAGTCTAGTTGTAAACAGAACAGGTCGTGCCCCCAAAAACTCTTCCTGCCCGCCAATTGGTCCATTTTCGTGGGGTGTTTTGCAGACTAGACATGTGCTTCGGCTGTGATGACGTCAGATCGCCCAAAGTTTCATAGTGCGTGATAGTAACAAGCTCGGTGTAATCAAGAATGTTTTAATTAAACAAATTTATAAAACAAAAAAAAACAAATAAGAAACCCTCATGGTACATTTTAGAGTCAAATCTAAATAAACCTAAAAAATCATATTTTATTCTCTACAAATTTCCTCCGTAATTAAATTAGCAACATGTTTTGAAAAGCGTCTTGAGTTTAAAGAATGAATGAGGTGCATTTGAAATTTACACCGATGAATCTAACGTATTTGAATTAGACGTCTACTGAAAAGAGTAACCAGTAGAAACTTGCTTTGTTGAGTTCCCTCTTTATTGCAGGTTGATTCCAAATGGTTTTTAAGGATTAAAAGCAAGAATATTATTAAAACATTGGAATGCGTAAATTTCACTTCATAATTAACCAAGAAAACATCTACTAGTGTGTCGTGTTAATCAACAGATAATCTCCATGGCAATGCGAGTGTAGCTAAGCGTCTTGTTTTCACAGCGTCTGGTATGCTTGTCATTAAACGATGTCTATTAAACTATCGTCTGGTTTTTTGAGTGAGTGTTACCGTCCTGAATTGGACAAATCGTCCGAAATTTGGAATAGGGAGTTCATGTTTTCGGAAAGTATTTTATTAAAAGAAGAATAGGAATGAGTTTGGGACTTAAGGAAATGTTCGGTTTTTATAAATACTTAATTTATAAATGCAGAGTAGGCAAAACGATTCCAAAATATCAATACATTAAATCTGTACCTTAAACATTATTTAAATGTTGTACTGTAAGATACATGGCTATACAGAAAGAAAAGCAATTAATTTTCGACGCATAATGGTCAAAATTTGTTAATTTACTTTAAATTGTTACAGTATTATTTTTCAAATATGTTCTTGGTTTAAGCTTTACCACCTAGATTGTATGGATATAACTTTCTTTTCTTTTGTCTTTATTTTGTCTGTATGTTTTGTAAATGTGATAAGAAATAATAAAAGAAAAAGAAGAAAAAAATTCTTACACCAGTGGACTATCGCCAACATCTCTTTCTCGATTTGAGCATATCTCATTTCAGTTTGAGATAGTGCTCTTGATGTGTAAGCGATGGGTCGTCCTTTTTGTAGTAAAATCCTCCTAGTGCGGCTGCTAGCATCACACTGTATGGTTACTTCTTTTTGTTCATCATAGTATGCAAGTACTAGGGTACTGCTACACATGTTCACTAATTTTTCAAAGGTCTGCTCTTGAGGTTTATCCCAGTGAAATTTGATAGGTTTACTAGTAAGTTCTGGCAATGGTGCATCAACTTTACTTAGATTTGGCATCAACTTTGCCAAGTACTGGATCATGCCCAAAAATCTTCTTACTTCCTCTTTGGACTATGGCCTCTGCATTTCTTTTAATGCACGCACCTTTTCTGGATCGGGTTGGAGACCATTTTCTGTTAATACAGTAGGTGTCCTACATATTTCACCTGACATTTCTTCACTTGACATTTGTCAAAGTTGTTGAGTTTTAGATCCAGTCTGTAGTTCGCTGTACTACCTTTTTCATTATTGAGTCATGGTGTGCTTCATCTCGGCCAGCTACAAGTATATCGTTCATTACTGCTCCAGCTTGTAATATGCTGCTTACCATGTTGTCCATTATTTTCTGGAATATTTCTAGAGCACATTTTTATTCCAAATGGCAGTCTCAACCAATGGTAGCGTCCTATTGGTGTATTGAACATTGTCACAAGACTTTACACATAGTCGAGTTTTATTTGTAAGAAGCCAGACTTTGCATCTATTACAGAGTAGACTTTTGTACCACCATAGAACCCACTACCTCTCCAACTGTTGGGATCGGGTAATTTTCTCCCGGATTGCCTCATTGAGGTCTTTGAGGTTGGAGCATATCCTTAACTTATCTTTCACTACAGCTACCATGGAACTGACCCAATCAGTATAGTAGGTTCTGATATTTTTGTGTTTGTGATATGACCATCTCGTTCCATTTCAGTTAACTTTTCAGCTATCCACATCTTTAATGCCAGTGGCTGTCTCCTTGGGCCATGTATTACTGGTTCCACTGTTGGGTCAATCTTCAGTGAATATGTGCCTGGGAGTGTCCCGGTTGTCTTTTTCAACTGCGGGTAGTCGTTAATGCTGTGGATGCGCTGAATCAATAGTAGTGGTGGTTTATCAGTGTTTACAACATAATAAAACACATCAATAGTGCGTGTATGCAGTCTGCAAGATTATGCTTTTACTTCTAGTGCGTGACTTGTATACGACTAAGTTTTTGCGTAGTTATTGTTGGTTTCATTTTCTGGTAACAGGTTTGAATTTTAATCCAACTGTATGGCAGCATACTTGTTACTGATCCTTTGCCTATCTGCATGTACACTGGTTCTCCTTGTTTCATACCATTCACTACTGGTCAGTGGTTGCGTTTCCAATAGCATGAACAAGGTGTGTATAATAAATCTCTGATTCATCTGAAGAGTAATTTTTTCCCACTTGGTGTGTACTCAAATTTGGTATCTCTTTTTCTACAAACTGCAGCGAAGTGGTTCTTCTGACAGACAGCACATGTTTTATTCTTAGCTGGACATGCTCTATGTGTTGTATCATAGCCATATGATGCTTTTCTTTTGCTTTGTTAACAGTGAAGGTTTGCTTTTGTAAAGCTTTGAAATTCCCTTCCTGGTAATGTTCTGCCTGTTTCAAAGTAGCATGAACTTTTGCATATTCATCTTTCCCAATTACCTGTACTTAAATTTTTTTTTTGGGATGTCTCATAGTTCTGGCCTTTGGATCCAGGTGCTTAAACAATGGGTTAAATATGTTTAAAGATATAATTAAAAATTGTATTTAGTTTTAGTGTATGTTTATATTGGTATTTTTATTTCTAGTCTTGCAATACAATATTTTCCACAAACATGCACTATTTTTTATGTCTTTCAACATGTACTTGTACTATGCAAATTATAATTTTCAGTCATTTAATAGTTACTGTAAATAGTTCTGTATTTATAATTAAAATAAGTAATAATTAGGTACCAGTATTTTATACAAGGGGAGGTGCCAAAATTTGCCAGATGGGGGCACATGTTCCCGATGAAAGCATAAGTGGCTGGAGTGGGAGCCCCCAGAAACAACGACAAATTAGGGTTTCACAAGCTTTTAATCAATATTATAGTCTACTTTTTATATGTAAACAATACATTTTTTTTCTCCCCAATGGGGCAGAGGGCCAGCTATTCCCGATGGAGGACTGGACTTTATTCCTCCTCGGCTCATCTGCTGCTGCCACCCCTGTTTTATACAAGGCTGTTAGTGGTGATGATGTACAGTCGGTTTGGATGAAACTTTATTATGTAATAACTTGAATAAAAATAATGGGTTTTTTTTCTTCATTTTTATCAGGCGATTCATTAAATAAAGGTACAGTGTATCTATATAATCAAACTTTTACATTAAGCCTAGGGTAGGATAGGTAGGACTAGACCATTTGACAGCACTACTGTAGGCTACACCGAAACATTGGTCCTTTCGAGGCCAATTTTAGATACGTACCGGTACTACAGGGACACAATTATGTACCTCCCCGGCTCAGTCCCGGCTAGTGCCCCGCTATGATCCGGCTTCTGGGGGGCCGGGACTACAATTGACAAGTACATTAATTAGGAAGATTTGCAGAGGAAATCACCGAGAAGAGACTCAAGTTTCAAGCGACCCGGTTTCTTATCAGAGTCACGGTTGTGATTATTACCTAAAAGATAACAGGTTTGTTAAACTGAGACAGTCACCATTGGCAACGGGAATTTTGGCTGTTGCCCGATACAGAGGTTCCCATAGTAGTGTAGAATATTTTTGAGTGTCTGTTTCATTTGATTACCACTCCCTTACTTGTTTGTAGTTTGGTCTGCGTTGACGATGACTTGTTAATTAATTGTTAATTTGACAAGCCTGCGTCAAATAAACAGTTGGTCTGAACCGTTATTAGCGTTAGACGCGTCCAGATTTCGGACGTATTCAGGACGCATCGTGGACGAATTCAGGATGCGTCAGATGCGTCTAAAACGTGCAGCATTTATGGACGGTACTGTACAAGGCTGTTAGTGGTGATGATGTACAGTGGGTTTGGATGAAACTTTATTATGTAATAACTTGAATAAAAATAATGGGTTTTTTTTCTTCATTTTTATCAGGCGATTCATTAAATAAAGGTACAGTGTATCTATATAATCAAACTTTTACATTCAAACGTGGTGTGATTGATGAGAATGGCATAGCATATGGCATCTATAATGACACACTGAATACAACTGGTTGGTGTAGGCTGCATGTTAGAGGAGGATTCTCCAGTCAGAAGTATAGTGATCAAGACATCATGTATGCTGCAGGATTCCTTGAGGGCGCTCTAACTTCAAAGTAAGTGAAATGATAAGATTTCTATGAAGCGACTAATTAAAAAATTAAATGAGACTAATACCTGTAAGTTGAAATTTGATGATAATTATATTCCTCCCATTCAATGGATGGTATTAGTTACACGAGATGCGTATTGACGATAATCTTCAAATACTGTACCAGTGCAGGAACACTGATCATTGTTCAATACCATGTAGGATGATTAGAGAATTAAATAGATTACTATTTATATTAACTGTCGATCCTAACACAAAATTGATATGGATGAAGCCACAAAAGGGCAGGCATGTAACCACTACCTCAAAGAGGATGGGAGGAACAGAATTATCATCAAATTTCAACTTACAGGTAAGTCTCATTTAATTCTTAAATTCTATTACTCCCACACTGCTGGAGGCAGTGGCTCCAGGAGATGTTCAAAGCGAGTGTTCTTGCACTCAAAATAAACACCCAGATGAAACTGTACAATGAGCAATGGTTTTAATACCAAAACATACAGTATAAAACTGCTAAATGCAATTTACTGGCTACCCATAAGAATACCTCAATATCTGTGCATAATAACAAAAATAAAATGAGCACTGTTTACAACTTACAGCAGTTTAAGTTCAAAACTTCAATAAACTCAACAATATGCCATTGCCAACAACCTATATGCTGGCATCTGGCACATACTGTAAACAATGTTCTTCTTGTAGAATGTTTTAAAAACAGAAACATTGGCTATCCAGCAGTTTTTTAAATTGTTTTAACTGGAATGTTCCATTAGCTCGACCCGCCCTCGATAAACTAACGTTAGGTGACCGCTCTAGAAAGATTAGCGGCTCTACAGATGTGCTGGTTACCTATTAAAACCCATTTAGCACTGTTGCTTTCAAGGTGATGGGAGTGTTTGTCCAAAAGTGCATTGACCAATAAATGCGAAGTTGACATCATGAAGTTGTCATCTGGTCAGTAATGCATTGTCCTGCAATCCGTGACGTAGTTCACTCTTATTGACCAATAAGCACAAAGTTAAAATCATGACGCTATCAGCTGGTCAGCAATTAAGTGGCCTTCATCTGTGTAGCCTTATCCTTCTCTGATTACGAGGTGTTATATAACAGGTTCTTTAAGTAGACCTGTATAGACCGTCGATTTTCTTGCTTAAAAATCTGCATGTTCTGTAATAAATTGCAAACAGCCAACTCACCCGCAATATACAGTAGCATTGGGAAACTAAATTTTACAGTTAATAATAGGATTTTGAATATTCACATTATTTTATTCAATGAATAGGTTGGATGAATAGGTATTATTGTAAGCGATTGTAAACCACAATCATTATTTAAAGTAGGTAAATGGAAAGAAGTTCGGATACCTTTTGATAGCGTGAGTAGATTTTGTAAGTGGCAGGAAGGTGGTTTCCCTCCAAATCCCAATTATTTACAACTTGTACAGCCCATTATTTTCAGTCAGGCAGTGTACGCAAAACATGTATCATTCATTTTACATGTACTGTATCAACCAATCATCATGACCTAGACTGTTAAAGTGTGACGTTGTACACTAAAACCGTGTCGATGTGCACTCATCTTATTCTTGGTAAATAAGCGATCACCGTCAAAGCGGAAGGAGACTGGTATAAAAACACCGGATTGCACGATTTTTTACTATTTTATTGAGTGCTACTCATACCTGTACCTCCTCGTAATTGTGAACGTTTCCTTAACGTATTTGTTTATAAAATAGACTATGTACCGAAATTTCAAACGATCGTATACAGTATTAACTCATATGATGTAAACGGCCCAGATCAAGCAATAATCAAAATTTAACTCTAAATAGATCGTAAATAAATACAATTAGGCATCATCTGGATGATTATATTCAAAGTACTACCGGTATTAAGGCAGACATCTTTTAATGAAAACCAAACGAATTACCTAAACCTCATACATTATGAAATAAGATTACGCTTCTTCAATCACATGGCTGATGATAACAAAGGGTATAAAATACTCTTTGATGATAACCTCAGCCAGACTTCACGGAGCAGCTATATTTTAACAACATTCATCTCAATGAGCAACATCTTGAAATTTACAAAAAAACAAATAGGTCTCACAGCAAATTTTGAAACCTAATTAAATGAAATAATATAGAAAGCAACTCCTTTACTACCATTTATTTACTGAACAAGCCAGTCGGCTTCTGACCTACTTTTGTTCGTATCGGCGGCGTACAAAGAGTCAAATGACTTTGTGTCTGGCAACCTCGGTGTCTGTGTCTACCAGGAGGAGCCTAGAATTGTGAACATTTCTCACTGAATGTAGTAGACGGTAAGCAGAGTTATTTCATAGGCAACTAGTAATGGGCCTCTATCAAACAATTTATTTCGTTCTTAAAAAAGTATCAGCAGAAAGTAAGCAAAATAATTGTTTAATCGTGTTTTGAAATAATATAAAAATTGAATTGTATATAAATGAATATTTAAAGATTACGTGGAATTAATAAAGTGCAACAATTGAATTAATTGGTTAATTTAATCTCTAAGGTACAGTATATAAAAAATATATAATTTTACAACTTGTTTTGACAACAACAAAAAACGTAACAAAACAACTTCGAACTAACTGGTAACAGGACTTCCAATTACGAAACTATATTTCGCGGAGTAACATCCCAAACCATGTGTGCACCCGACTACACCGGCTGGCGAGTAAGGTATAAGTCCATTGCAAGTTCAATCAGAATACTGGGATATTACATCATTCGGTGCAACTTGCAATGTTTGGGATATGTTACTCCGCGAAACCTTTGTAAACACTAGAAGTGTGACAATGTTCTCTGGCGATTAATACTGAAGTTTCGAAGTTGGAAGGCGTATCAGTTTTTTGTTTGTTTGTTTGTTTGTTTTTGTTTTTTTAATAATTTTCAATAAAAACAACCATTGAACAATATATGTAGGTATAAGATACTTTGCTGAAGTTGTACAGGCCCAGGCCTAATGTTCAGGCTACATTATAACCTAAATAAGAAGTGTCGCCAGCCGACTGTGTGATGCCAATTTTTCGGGCTTAAAACGAAGCCTAAATGGCCTTTGACAAGTGGAGAGCTGGAATCTCAGCACTCCCGAAATATTGGTGAAAACTCTGGAACTCTGTTTAGGTTGAAATTATTATGTGTAAATTGATTTAAGAGTTATCTCATAAAGAAAAAATTCCATCCACGCATATTAAAAATAAGCCTGCCAATTTCCGCGCAAATGTTGCAGTAAAGTCGGCCGGTGGCTATTGTAACCAATGTACACTATAGGCATTCGCAGTGTTAATGCGATTCTGCGGTCCTATTTTCTCGAAATTTCCTGCTCAATTGAAGAAAAATACTGAAAAATTTAAAGAAAGTGTACAGCAAATATAATTAATGTTTCAGTAATAATAATTAATAATTTTATAATCAGTATATCAATCCACTTAACCCTTTCACTGCCATCTTCGCATAAATGCGAACACGATCCCTCTGGTGTGAGTGCCGATTTCGCATAAATGCGAATAGGCTCACTGTACAGCCAGTGCCGTTTTTGCATAAATGCGAACGGGTAAACGTCTCCTACAAATCGACCACTAAACGGCTGTAGCAAGCCTAACCCACACATATTTTTTATCGGTTAGAAAGCTAATGAAATTCTGAACATTTTGATGCCAGTTTTGCTATGGGTTGTTTTTTGAAAAGTTAGAGTAATTTCAGTTTGAAAATCAGATATGCCGAAAAAACGGTATTCAGCTGAGGAAGTAATTTCAGCCGT